AAATCGACACCCTTCACGCAGATCCGCGGGGTCAGGGTCCAAAAACACATGGGATTTGCCACATTTCTGAAATTCGGTGCCACCCCTCACGCAGATCCGCGGGGTCAGGGTCCAAAAACACATGGGATTTGCCACATTTCTGAAATTCGGTGCCACCCCTCACGCAGATCCGCGGGGTCAGGGTCCAAAAACACATGGGATTTGCCACATTTCTGAAATTCGGTGCCACCCCTCACGCAGATCCGCGGGGTCAGGGTCCAAAAACACATGGGATTTGCCACATTTCTGAAATTCGGTGCCACCCCTCACGCAGATCCGCGGGGTCAGGGTCCAAAAACACATGGGATTTGCCACATTTCTGAAATTCGGTGCCACCCCTCACGCAGATCCGCGGGGTCAGGGTCCAAAAACACAAGGGATTTGCCACATTTCTGAAATTCGGTGCCACCCCTCACGCAGATCCGCGGGGTCAGGGTCCAAAAACACAGGGGATTTGCCACATTTCTGAAATTCGGTGCCACCCCTCACGCAGATCCGCGGGGTCAGGGTCCAAAAACACAGGGGATTTGCCACATTTTTGAAATTCGGTGCCACCCCTCACGCAGATCCGCGGGGTCAGGGTCCAAAAACACATGGGATTTGCCACATTTCTGAAATTCGGTGCCACCCCTCACGCAGATCCGCGGGGTCAGGGTCCAAAAACACATGGGATTTGCCACATTTCTGAAATTCGGTGCCACCCCTCACGCAGATCCGCGGGGTCAGGGTCCAAAAACACATGGGATTTGCCACATTTCTGAAATTCGGTGCCACCCCTTACGCAGATCCGCGGGGTCAGGGTCCAAAAACACAGGGGATTTGCCACATTTCTGAAATTCGGTGCCACCCTTCACGCACATCCATCGCAAGGCGTGGTAACCCAAACTGCGAGAACTCCCTCGGCCCTTTAATCGCAAGGTGTGGTAACCAAGCCCGTAAACCATACACGTCTTACCAATCGCCAGGTGTGGTAACCCCTCTTGTGATCAGTTGGTTTTGCTGATTGCGAATCGGCTTCGCATGAAGTTTCGATACTGCTTCACGACAGCGCCAAGGCCTCATGACTTAGCTCTTCCATGGCCCATTCTCCGAGAGAGGGGGCCGGCGGCAGGGGGCGAAGCCCTTACGGATCATCTGGGAGCTTCCGAGGGGGGGGGGGCTCAACTGACCCGGCCCCTTACGTGATCGATCTCCTCCACGATGGCCCCACGATAGCCCAAAGGGGGGCCGAACAATGTCCCAAGAGCCTCCTTGAAAGAGCCCCAGAGGACCCCAAGAGAGACCCATGACGGCTCCGAGCGACCTCCGAGAACACAGTTTCAAGGCGGTTGTTAGACTGCTGCATGCGTCTACACTTCCCTGATCAAGGTAACTCGCCTGTCGACATGTTTCTGTATGGGGCAGTGGGGATACGCGAATCGTGAAGAAGTTCATGACCGACAAGATGAAGAATACTGGTGATTCGCGGCGCCGAAATCCCAAGAACAACGTTGTGGCAAAATTCTGGATTTTCAAACGGTTGTCCTCCAATGGGGCACTCCTCAGTGACAATGAATCCTTGTAGGGGCATTTGAACAGTGACCTTGGAGGGAGGGTTCATTGCAACATCTTTGGTGAGTCTTGAATTCAAACTGGTCCCCCTTCTCCCCCTCCCCCCCTCTTCCTCCTCCTCCTCCTCCTCCTCCTCCTCCTCCTCCTCCTCCTCCTCCCTCGCCTCCTCCCTCACCTCCTCCCTCGCCTCCTCCCCCTCATTCCCTCACCAAGGGAATGCGCGCCTGAGGCATCCGCGCACAAACACACAATACACGCACACAACGGAGGAGGAGTGAGGAGGAAGTGGAGGGGAGAAGGGATGCGAAAGAGGGGGGCGCGAAGTCAACATGCCGCGAAGCCTGTGGGCGCCACGCCGCAGGGGCAGGGTTCACCGCGCAGAGGCCGGCCCTCCAGCAGGGAGAGGGGAAAGAGGGAGGGATGAAGGAGAGAGTGAGGGAGGGACGGAGGAGGAGGAGGAGGAGGAGGAGGAGCGATGAAGGAGGATGGGGAGAAAGGAGGAAGGAAGAGGAAGGAGGAAAGGGGAGGAGGAGGAGAAGGATGAGGAGTAGAAGGGGGGCGGAGGAAGAATGAGGAGGGGAGGGAGGAGGACGAGGAGGTGGTGGTGGGGACGGTGGCCCCGACACGAAGTCGGGTTCAGCTGTGAACGGCAATCTCTGCGGTGGAAAACCTCACGGGCGAAACGACGAACGAGAGCCAGAGAAAAAAACACCGAGCCTGTGATCTCCCTCGACCTGGCGAGGGGGGATGAGGAGGGAGGAGGAAGGAATGAGGGAGGAGGCGGGAGGCGGAAGGAGGAGGAGGAGGAGGAGGAGGAGGAGGACGACGACGACGAGGGATTGGAGGAGGAGGAGGAGGAGGAGGAGGAGGAGGAGGCGGAGGAGGAGGAGGAGGAGGAGGAGGAGGAGGAGGACGAGGGAGTGAGGAGGAGGAGGCCGACGACGACGACGATGGAGGAGGGAGGGCACGAGGGGAGGGGAGGGCCTGGGTGGCACCGCGCCCCCCGTCAGCGGCTCGTCCGCGGAGAGGCCCCCGCCGTCGCCGTCGGGCCAGCCGGCGGGCCCTGGGCGGCTCGAGCCGCGTCGCCCTCGCCACCCTCGCCGACGTCGACAACGACGAGGACGGAAACGACGACGACGAGGAGGAGGAGGACGACAAGGAGGAGGAGGAGGAGGAGGAGGAGGAGGAGGAGGAGGAGGACTACAAGGAGGAGGAGGAGGAGGAGGAGGAGGAGGACTACAAGGAGGAAGAGGAGGACGAGGACGACGCGCATGACGACGACGACGAGGACGAGCAGGGCGCGAAGGACGACGACGAGGAGGCCGAGGACGACGGGGAGGCGCCGCCACCGCCGCCGACGTCGTCTGGCATCGGCGTCGTCCTCGTCCTCCTCGTCGTGATCGTCCTCCTCTTCCTCTTTGTAGTCCTCCTCCTCCCCCTCCTCCTCCTCCTCCTCCTTCTCCTCCTCCTCCTTCTCCGCCTCCCTCTGCGCACCGTCACTGCACATCCACATCATCCCCCTCCTCCTCCTCCACATGCCCCTCCCCATTCTGGAGAAACCAAAAGGCACCGTTACCGCTACTCTCCAGACCTCTCCCAGGGTGCGTGCTGACCAGCACTTCGAGGCGAATCCAGCGGTGGCGACGAGGGCCTCCCAGGAGGTCCAAACAAGGGGAATACGAGGGAAGGGTACCGGTACGGATCGGTACCTTGTCCATCCTTTGACATCCTCTCCCGCCTTCGCGACGACGACGACGACGACGACTGCCGCGACGGGGACGACGACGACGAGGACGACGGCGACGACGCCCACCATCGGGGCCCCGGCTGCCGTCCATCGCGGGCCTCGCGAAGCCTTCGGCCCGCTGACGAGGGGCAGGCGCGCGCGGCGCGGCGCCGCGGCTCGCCCCTGCCCCCGCCCGGACGCCGGCGGCTTCGGGCCGGGGCGGCCACGCCGGCGCCGCCGCGTGCGCCACGCCGCCGTCGCCGCCGCCGCCGTCGTCGCCGCCGTCGCTTGGACGCCCAGAAGTGGGTACAGTGGGGACGCTGACCTGAGGAACCCTAAATATGGAACGAGGCCCCTTTTTCCCAAAAGTTGAATTTCGGTTTTTGAAACCTCAGGGGAAATTAAGGCGAACTGCACAACAATCAAGGAACACCGAGCCTCTCTCCAACGAAAAGGGTTCCTCCTTCAGGGCCCCGACTGTACGGCAAAAGGGAATGCGATGCCCAGCAAAACATGTTGTCCCAGGCCGACAGCGGCCGCTGTGGGGCTGGTGGCCTGTTGCAACCATGGTGTCTTCAGGGAGCGACGTCCGCGCCGGCAAAGGCAGCGAGCTCGGTTCAAAAGGAACAGGAGCTGCTGTTGGGCATCGCGACCGTTCTCTCTGTACCGATGTCGATCGCCCCGGGTCATCTGTCGAGGGTCGAGAAATACAGAAACAAAGACGTAGATTAAGGACGCGTGGCAAGGACGCAAAACCATTGGAGGCCGAAGTGGGGATTGTTGGGCGGCAGGCGAGCGGCCAATGATAACTGCAGAATGACGGGCCGCAGAGGCAAGGACACAACTGGCCATCGCTCGGACGTCCATTCCCTGTGTTTTTTTCCGGTTTTGTGCGTGTGTTTTTTTCGCCAAGTGATCAGGGATGCTCCTCGATGGTCCTCGCCGAAGGAAGAATGCACACGTCCAAGCGATGCCAAGACAAGGGCACCCAGATGAAGGCGAGCGTCCTTACTGGGCGCCTTGGCTGCAGCCTTCTGCAAGCCTTGACCCACCGAGGGCCTCCGGGGGGGGAGGAGGAGGGGGAGGGGGAGGAGGAGGAGGAGGAGGAGGAGGAGGAGGAGGGAGGAGGGAGGAGGAGGAGGAGGAGGAGGAGGGGGAGGAGGAGGGGAGGAGGAGGAGGGAGGGAGGAGGAGGAGGAGGAGGGGAGGGAGGAGAGGGAGGAGGAGGGGAGGAGGAGGGGGAGGAACAGGAGGAGGCCTCGGGGGGCTGCCCTCGGCGATCGGAGGCCCGAGGCCCTCCTCTCCACGCTGGGCCGCCGGGCACGTCCCCGAGGTGCGCCCCGGGTCTCCGGCACCGCTCCGCGGGGCGCAGAGCGGGCGCGTCCCGAGGTCCTTTCTGTGTATGGGGTTGAAGTACAAGGGTACAGAACCCCTGATCCGTTGGTAGAGGGAAGGAGGGATAGATGGATGTCTTTCCCTCCTGCACGATCAAAGGTCTGACCGATCTATCCCAATACCTGAGCCCAAACGGCCAGGCGCAGGAGAGGTGAGGGTAAGGAGTATATATGAGGGTATTACACGGGTTCTATTCACACTTTCTGCCCAGTCCCCTGTCAAGGGGCCCAAGGACACACCAATAAACACACACAAGTAAAACTGTTCTCCCAAGATTTTCCCATACTTTCGGGGTTTGGTCTTCCCGCCCCATTCCCATATTTGCCCATCCTTTCTTGGGGATCGACGATTAATCGTGTCTGTGTGTTTTTTCCCCGCCTGACCCTGAGCCTGCGTCACTCGGGGGGCACAAAGGTGGGGTTGGGGCTGAGAGGGGGTTGGAGGGAACATCACTCTGGACGGCCCCTGAGGGAGGATAAGCCCAGAAACTTGAGCAGCCGGCTGGGCCCGTTCCCCAGCCCCAGATTGGGAGAACCCTCCCTCAAAGAACCCTGGACAGTCCTCCAAATTGCCGACTTTCCATGGGCTTGGCGCGGCTACCCTGGACTCCCACGCGTCTTGCGGAGTGACATTTTCGGTCCCAAAGGGGCCCAAACACGGAGGGCCCCAAGAGACCCCGAAAACGGTCCGAGAGGGCCCCGAGTCGCCGAAAGATCGCTCAAGACGCTCAAGATGGCCCCCAGACGGCCCAAGACGCCTCCAAGACGCCCCAAGAGGCCTCCCAAGAGGGCCCCAAGAGGCCAAAATCGCTTATTCTCCCTGGGTTTTTCAAATGTTTTAGGCGTTGTCGCCTGTTCGGCTTCCCGACGCTCCCAGACGGCGCTAGAGGCCCCAACAAAGATCGACCCGGAGGCCTGCAAGAGGGCCCCAGAACTGCCAAAGAGGGCCCCAAGACGGCCCAAGAGGCGCCCAAGACGGCCCCAACAATTGCTCCAAGAGGGGGCCCAGATGGGGGGCCTGAGTGGACATTTTTTGGAGCCCTCGGCCCCGAGGGGCCTCCATCAGGCCCCAAGAAGACCCCAACAGGCCCCAAGAGGCTCCCAAGAGGCCCAAGAAGCATCCCTGAGAACTCCAACCCGCAAGCCAGCCAGGCAATGTGGCGGGGTGGGCCGCAGGCCACTAGGTAATGTCGAGAAGCCACCTGGAGGCCCAGACATGACGATGAGCAAACCTCAAAGCTAGCTCCTTCCCCCGCTCCTCGCCACCTTCTCTCCGACCCGCGCTGGGCAAAGGCCCTCGGGCAGATCGGCTCCCGACAGGCCCGGCCGACCACCTATACCGCAAGATCTGCCCCCATCCTTCCACGGAGCGGTCAGGCACCGAGATCTGGCTCACGAGACGAGCCAGAGGATGCCTGGTGGGTGTATCCTGACGAACGAACAACGCACACCTATACCCATAAGGGGGTCGTTGGGAGGAGGACTGGCTATGGGCACGGGTGCGGGTTGTCGGACCACGGGGAACGCTCCCGCTCGAGGGGGGACCCCCCTCCGACAACACGCACCCGTAGCCCCCTCCGACCCCCCTGTGGGTGTGGGTGTGCATCGCTGGTTCGTCATGTCCCTCTGCCCTCCCCGCTCGAGCCGTGAGGAGCGGCACCGAAGCGCAGAGGCCATCGTTTTTGCACTCCGCGCGGCCGCGCTCGCTAGCGCTAGCCGTGTGCCGTGTGCCGCCCTGCGCCGGGCTGCCGGCACGCGGCGCCGCCTCGTCTGCCGGGGGGGGGGCCGGCCTGCAGCGCGCCGGGGGCCCGGCCAGGGTGCTCTGCTGCGAGCGGCCGTCGCCGCGAGGCTGCCGCCCAAGTGGCACGGCGAGACGGACACATCGAAGCGCTGAGGGACACACACACACACACACACAACACACACACACACACGCACACACACGCACACACACGCACACACACGCACACACACGCACACACACACACAACACACACACACCCACACACACACACACACACACACACACACACACGCGCGCGCATGCACGCGCGCGCGCGCATGCACGCGCGCGCGCATGCACGCACGCGCGCGCATGCACGCACGCACACCACTGTGCGGGAGGGCGGCCTGGCATGGCGCCCAAGCGCAGATTCGACAGGAAGGCTTCGCCTCGCCGTGCGAATCAACAAATTCAACAGTGCGGAAGAGGAGGAGGAGGAGGAGGAGGAGGAGGAGGAAGAGGAGGAGGAGCAGGAGGAGGAGGAGGAGGGTGTAACGCTACATGCTGTTGCATCGAGGCTGCGCAAGGTGAGAAAGGAGGAGGAGGAGGAGGACGAGGAGGAGAAGAGCACAGCACAGAGGGAGACCAGAGGAGGGGGAAGTAGCAGTACCAGAAGGGGGGGAGGGAGCAGGGAGGGCAGCCAGAAGATGGAGAGCGCAATGGTCGGCCTCAAACATGGGCAGCGCGGGAGGGTAACCAGAAAATGGGGAGCGCAGGCATGGCAACCAGAAAATTCGAAGCTAATATCGAGTCGGCCTCAAAACCACACCTACTGAGATCGAAAACATATGCCAGCCTCGAGTCGCCCCGAAGCCCAGGCTCTGTACGGAAACTGCCTGCATGTGCATTCGCCATTCGCCAGCTTGGGCCTGGGCCTCCCAGACGGGGTCCGAGCAGATCGGGTCGGAGGATCGCGCCGCATCGACGACGCATCGCCGATGCGGCTCGATGTGGAGCCCGATTTGCTTCACGTCGACGTCGCCGATGCATCGCCGATGCATCGGCGATGCATCGGCGATGTGGCGCGCTCCTCCGACCCCGTCTGGGATGCCGCCACTGGGGCAGACAGGGTGGAGCCCGCAGAGGAGCCGGACCCCGTGGTGCCGTGACCAGACCAAAACCTGGCCATCGCTCGGACGTCCATTCCCTGTGCTTTTTTCGGTTTCGTGCGTGGTTTGTTCGCCAAGTGATCAAGGATGCTCCTCGATGGTCCTCGCCGAAGGAAACATGCACACGTCCGAGCGATGCCAAGAAACTGGCCCGAAGAAACTGGCCCGGGGCCCACGTCGCAGAAGATACAACGACGCCGGAGATCCGGCAGAGGGGAACAATGAACGGGCACTACCCACTGCCCCAAAATTCGAAGCCGGCACGCGCGGAGGAGGCTGCGAAGGAAGTGCAACTCATCAGGCCCGCCGCCAACTCTGGACACTGGTGGGAGGAAGAGGCGTTGACCGATGAATGTGGCATGAGTGTTCGCCACTCTTTCCGGGGCCTGTCTGGGGGGGAGACAATCAGAGAGGTGGGGAAAAAAGAGGTGAGATGAGCATGCAAAGCTTCCGCACGGATGGCAGTGCGCCGAGCATCAGCCGCAGCGCCTTCGACTGGCAAGAAATTGTGCACCTTCTCGGGACGAGGGACAAGCTGGAAACCGGCTGCGCGCATGGAAACCAGCTGCACCCTTGTACCCGCCAATGCATGTTCCATCAGCCTCACGGTCTGGAACAGTACAGTCATCGGCCTGACCTAAGGAACAACAAATAAGGAACGAGGCCTCTTTTTTTACCCCAAGGAATAACACATAAGGAACGATCAATAACAAATAACGCATAAGGAACTGTAAAAAACGCATACAAGCCTAAGGAACGACCGAGCCCCTTTTGAAAAGTAAGTGTTCCTTCTTCAAGCCGCTCACTGTACGCAAGAAGCATTGCGGCCTACGCGTGGAGGGGCGGAATTCGTAGCGGGGGGGGGAGAGGAAGGAGGCAGTGCAGGGGACAACCAGACGAGGCAGTAGTACAACAAAAAAACAGTGGTGGT